TGAGCTAAACCTAAGAACTAGATTGTAAAAGTCAAATTTAAGCATCAATTTGTGTTATCTCTACTTTTTAGAGTAGTACACTTGCTTTGAATTTTTTTGGTTTTGGAAATTCAAGGGTGGGTTCCCTTGGTGGTTGAGTTAGTGGTCATTCTCATCAGGCTTGTAATGAGGGTTTCCTTCGTACCATGGGGAAGTTATCCCTAAAAGATTAGAGTGAAAAAAGTGATGAAGTTTTTGGTTGAATTGTTAATGAGGGTTTCTTGAGGATAAAAGAGTTTATGCATTGTAAACTTTAATCTTTTTAGTTAATAAATTAAATCTCATGCGTGAGTTGAGGGTACTAGATGTAGGTCTTAGTTTAGACCAAATCAATATAAAATTTTGGTGCATTCTCTTCTAACCTACACTTCTTGTAATTGTTTAATTGTTTTTACATTATTTTGAATTGATCCTAACTCTAATAATATTATTCAAATTAAACAAGAACCCTTTCTCCATCTCCATAAGTATATATATTCTTCTTGATAATAAGAAAAGGACTTAATTAAAAGCATCAAACCAATTTCAATTAGAACTCAATTCACATCGATCATCTTGAATTATTGAGCTAGCCCACTTAGTTAACATCTTATGACTTCCGAAACTTTCAATTTGAATTGTTATATTACTTTGCCTTGCACCAAAATGTTTTCACAAATTTCTTTTTCAAAAAGAAAAATAACAAGCAAGTGCCTAATGTGTACAATTAAGCAATGCAATCAAAACTTAAAGACTTGAAAACATAAATTGCTTGAAAACATAAATTGCATGAAAACATAAATTGCTTAAAACATAAATGACATGAAAACATAAAGACAAGAAAACATAAACTAGACATTTTAAGCAAGTAAACCTATGTGAGAGCTTGGAAAATACCAAGGACTTCCAAGGACCACTCTAACTAGTACTAAGCGTATTACCCTATTTTGAAAACACTAAGGAGAGATGGAAATGCACCAAAGGCACTCCAAGACATTCCTAAAAAGGCCTTGTACAAGAAATGAAAGAAATGAAAATTTACAAGAAATGAAATGCAAATTTACAGTAAATTTAGCGATGTAAAAGAGTGTTTTTGTAGTAGTGTTCATGTGCATTTGTTTGCGAAACTCAGCGTGCTCCTCCATCTATATGTACCCAGCAGCGTGTACCTATAGGTCATCCATGTCGTTGGGTTGTCTCGTGTAGAAATGAAGGGGCCCGAATTAAGTGCCATGAGCATGGAGTACAGTGCGACCTCGTGGTTGAGGTTCCAAATCTTCACGAACACGTTGGTGAAACGTTCCATGAATTTCCTGAGGGGCTCCGTGTCGCCTTGTCGGAGGTTGGCCAAGGCGGCCGAGCTGATATGATGTGGGTGGCTGGTGGCATATTGAGCTGTGAAATGTCGTGAGAGCTCGTCGAAGGTGTTTATTGATCATGGAGGCAATTCGGTGTACCAGTTTAGAGCAGGGCCTTTCAGGGAGGTAAGGAACAGACAGCACATGATGGCGTCGTCGTCGGTGTATAAGTTCATCTGGGTGATGTACGCGTCCAGATGCTCATCCGGGTCTGATGGGACTACTTGGAGAAGATTGATGTTTCTTCAAGTTGAACCATGCTAAGTCCCTTCTTCTCATGAGGTTCTTCACTTCAATGAAAGATTTGGATGAATTCAAGCTTCAAAAGTACCCTATTTTGAAAACACTAAGGAGAGATGGAAATGCACCAAAGGCACTCCAAGACATTCCTAAAAAGGCCTTGTACAAGAAATGAAAGAAATGAAAATTTACAAGAAATGAAATGCAAATTTACACCAAATGAAATGCACATGTACACCA